ATTGTGATCTGAGCTACACTGGAACATCTGTCTAGAATAAGGGGTCTCTCTCACATCTTGCACCCTAGGTTTCCTCATGGCCATCTCAGGACAACATTATAAGGGAGGGAAACTAAAAGGTGAGCATCTGGGGGAGTAACACAACTTCACATCCACCATTATTCTATTGATCAAAGCAAATTTCACAGACTGTAGAGTCAAAAGGTAAGGAAACAAACTGCTTTTTCTGGTGGACGAAGCAGCAAAGTTACCCTGAAGAGGAACGTGCTTACTGATGTGAGAAGAATGTGAGCCATTATTTTTAGAATGTAACACATACTGAAGAGTAAACTTGTAGGTGAGGGCGATGTTTTCATTTTCTAGTTCTGCTGGTCATTTGAAGATAGCTGGCTACAAGAGGATGAGGTTGGTATCTGGTTGACACCAGGATTTATAGGTTGTGCCCTATGTAAAAGTATCTTATAAAAGGGAAAGTGGGGCTGAAGTGTAGCCCTACCGAAATTTACCAGCTGAATGCTCTGGAGTGGATTTGCTTCTGGTAGGATGAAGGGGTCATCCATTTTTCACATCCAGTGTCCACGGGCTGTCTTTGCCTAATGGTGACATTTTCTAATTTACACAAAGTATTGTTTGGGCTCTAGAGGCTCTGCTGAATATTGGCTTTCTCTGAATCATACACACCCTGGTTTGCACTAACAGCTAAGATCATTACCACTGTTTAGACAATTATGTCAAATCTGGATAGTCTGCAGAAATTAGATGTTGCTCCTGGATTTGTTTTTCTGCTTCCAGTACACTCTCTAGAAAGAGGCCACATTGCCTAGATCTTTGAGGAGGAATGTGTCCTAGAGATTCCCCTTATGCCTTCAGAGAATGTCCTATGCGAATGGTTCTTTTGTCCTCTACTCTTTATCGCTTTCTGAGCCCTTTAACTCCTTTTCTACTACAATACCCTTATCCACACTCCCCTTTTGTGTTATCTACTAGCTCTCTCAAGAAATAAAGAAAGTCATTATAAATGTTTTAAGAGATGAAGATTATGACAGTCATAGAAGTACTTGCAATAGCAAAGTTTGGAAGCAATCTTCACTGTCAACAATAATTGATACATAATAATTTATATAACTATATGAAGGGATACCAGTCAACCATTTAAAATAATGCTGTAAATGGATTTATTGACATGGAAATACATGTTAAGCTGAAAACTGGCTACATGACAAGTTCCCCAAATGCTCTTTCTTTTATTTTATAATGTATTCACCATCCATGTCCCCAATTTCTTCAATATCAAAGTGTCTGCAAGTATATTTCATAGAAAGGGTCTGAAGGGCTGTCAATGTGACTCAAGGGTATGCCTGATATGTCAAAAGGCCTGGAATTAATTCCCAGAAACATACAAACCTACACACACACACACACACACACACACACACACACACACTACTTGTTTATATAGACTCTGGTAACATTGATGTGAGTAATTTTGAGTATTTCAAAACTAGCTTATCTTTCTTTAAATGTTTCTGTAATGAGTATGAATTGCTTTTCAATAAAAAATTATTTTACAGAAAAAGAGAAATCAATCTAGGAAGTGTGAATCATGGGTAGCTGGAATAGGTCTCACAGGTCAACACAATGCAAAACTATTAACATTTTCCCACAAAGTATTCTTTGGTGCCACTGTCAGAATTTAGAGCTAGCTAGATCGAATATGAGTCTGACTCAGCATGGCATTTCTTTTTGCTTTTATGCTAATGCTTAAAAGCTTGAAACTCTGCACTCCATTAAATACAGCTCATCAAATATTTATTGAGTACCTACTATGTGCCAAGCATCAGGATACAAAATTAACAAGACATAGTTCTGTTGCAATTTATGTCAATAAGTACCCTCATAGAAATGTCAATATCTTTGAAAATCTGAAATGGTTATCCTGATAATATTCTTCAGGCAGAAAAAAAATTTATAGGAAACAATACCCCAAAAGTTCAAACTTGAATAACCTACTTATGTTTTCACTGTTTTAACTAATGCATTATAGGATTGTGCTTGAATTATTGTTTTCTAAAGCCTATATATTTGTGGTACTTTCCTAAAGCACCACTACTGTTCTCCTTTTGAATCAATAGCATTTCAATTCTATTACTTGTTCTGGTAGAAATTATTTCAATCTGTTTAGTCTTTGAGCCAAATCTTTCAGTTTGACTTTGAGATCCTGACTAAGATCTCATGGGGCAAAATTGTTTTTAAAGTCTAAATCAGGGCCTATGCTTCAAACAAAAGTTTCTAGGCCCTGCTTAACTAGCAATTAAATAATTAACAAACTGAAAATATCTAAACTTGGGTTTAGTGAATTGGCACAATTTTACTCATTAAAATATATATTACAATGATTTTTATGAATTAAAGCCTGATCTCAGTTAAGAAGTTTTGATTTCTTCATTACCCATAAATTATTATGTCTATATCCAGGTTTATTTATTTTTTTGCATGACAATTCTCTCAACATGGAGTTTACATGAATTAGACTGTAAAGGAATTTTGTACATACTACTTTTGATTTTATAAAAAAGAAAATCTAATTACAGAAGTAACTTGTAGGAGTCTAAGTTGCTTTAGAAAGTGCATGATGAAACACAGATATGTGAAAATCAAGAGCTAATCAAACCTTCTCTTTCAGATTCTCAATCTGTTACTCTTTCTTGCCACAGATTATATTTCCATAATGTTGTGTTAGCTCATTTTGTGAACATGTAAGATCTCAAGACTATGTATGTTTAATTATTTGATGGATCAATTTATACATTCAGCACTTATTTACTGAGTACCTACTAAGTGTTGGTCCTAACACAAATTTAAATATTAAAAGAAGTAATTAAAGAGTGAGTATTGCTTCAAATCCATATACAATAGCATTTTACAGTTAGTTGTGTTTGAATACACACATGTGTAAGTGGGGTGAGGGAGATAGAAAGATGTTTGTCTGTCTTCTTCCCTACCTAAAGTCTTCCCAGTTTTCTAACTTAACTACCATAACATATCAAACATGCAACATACCATAATATACCAAATAGGCTTGTTTATGAGAAGCATGTATATATACCCAGACTCCTGAATTTTATTTTATGATAAGATGCTGATTCTACTTTTATAAAACAAATTCTTCATTTCATAATTTTAAAGATGGTGGAACTTTCAAAACCTCTGCATCTGATTAGATTTAGGGCATTAAATGTTTCACCATCATATTTTTCTTGGCCTGCAGCATTTTAATTTTATTGTGAAGTAGAAAAACTCTTATTATCTTTAAGACTTTGTTTTCAGAATGATATGAAATAATAGTACAAGTAATGTATGAAATAGTACAAGTAATGCCAGATTCAGAAATACTGCTTTGCTTGGATAAATTATCTGACTCCATTGTAAAACTAACAGTCAATTTTCAGTAACTTCTTATCATTTCTGTGTTTTTTTCTGTTCACTCATCATGCAGTAGTTTGATCCTACTTGTTTGCTCTCTTTTTATAAGTCTGCCCTGGCTTCTCTGTTCAGTTGTTATTTGATGTCACTAGTCTTGCTGTCACTGCATTTCAGTCCTTGGATTCCTGATTGCTGTTGGATCGCTATCTGCCTTGCCCTGGTTGTCAGTTAAAATTGCTGCTCTTCACCTGTTGGGACAAGGAAAGTTGATAATCTTTGGCACCTGTCTCATTCAAGGATGGGGTGGCAAATGGCAAGGGGACACAGACTTCTTCATTTTACATTTAGGATTTCTCCTAAATTCTCCAAAGATTACCATTAACTTCCATTAAAGGAAAACACCAAAGAAAGTTGCAGAAATGAAACAAAAATGTTTTTGACTCTAGACCTAAAGACAAACAACATGTTAGTACAGTAATATACACGAGTATCTCCTCAACTTTGGGGGAGATGGTACAGGCAGGTAGACGTAGCTTAAAAATTGCTTTTAGGTACTGATGTTAAAATGTCACAAATACACAGAGGTGCCTGATGCTTACAAAATAAGCATAATATTCAAAACAAAGAATTACCCAAGTAAGGGTTTAAACTGGATCACCAGTGTTTGAGTATTAAAATAGTACTGTGGCTGCTTGAATCAAGGATGTAGTAGAGTGACACCTGTTGATATTGTACTAGCCAGTGTCTTAAATCTTATTTTTAGGTCACACATGAAACTAATAAGCCAATGAAAAAGCAAACACAAGTGTCAGAATGTAGGAAGAAGGCTACATATCTTTATAGAAAAACCTGCCACCATATAAAATTAAATATGTTGCCCAAAAGATTTTAGATATTTTTTTCATTTGTAACCCTATGTGCTCTTGAGATAAAGCCAAATAAACCAGTTCGTAAAAGTGTATAAAGGAAATTTTAAGTACTGGTTTGGGATGTGTCAATGAATGTCATAGCAACGGAAGGACGGCTGAAATAGAAAGTCATGAATATCATAAAGGGAAAGAGATACAATAGGCAAAACCTATTATCTTCTTAAAAGCCTGTGTTCTCACCTTGTAGAATAGATGATGAACTTTTAAACAAATCTACAATAGGTAAAAGCAAGCCCTCTCCAGGAAAACACAATCTGTTTCCAAGCAAGGACAGCAGTCTCCCTATTGTCGCTGCTTTTCCTCTCATCTGAGCGTTGGTTTGCCTTTCCATAGTAACCCAGGAAGAGGAGGTGCGCCCAAATTGGCGATGGTCTGCCAACTACCACAAGCTCTACTTTGGAAGAGGAAAGCTCCTCCTTTCGACGTAAGGCTCCCCTACCAGAGCGCCCACTTACAGAAACGGAAACCACTAGCTATGCTGAAGTGAGTCAAGTGATGAAATCAAGACTACAAGGGAAGGAAGCTCACCAACCTAACCGGTGACAGAAGCTGCTGAGCCCTGCGGAGGAAACCACACAAGCCAACAGTCGCTGCCCTCATGGAGCGGTCGCATCCTTTCATTTGGGCGAAGCGAAGAGGAAGGGAAGAAGTGTAGAGGGGAGATATAGATCTAGTTTCCCAGGAAGTCAGACTGTTTTGGTTACAAGGTGACCACTGCCACCAGGTCAGTGCTGGATTCCTCAAATGCAGACAGGCTGATAGGGAGGGCGCGCGCGGAGGTGCAGCCTCGTGGGCGGCAACGTGGGCCGGGACGGCGCCCCAGCCCTGCGCGCGCCGTCCTCGCTGCTCACCTGGAGCGCTCAGGTAGGGCTTGGGCGGGGCAGAAGGCTGGCGCGCAGGCGCGGGACGGGCGCCTCGCCCCTGCCGAAGACGCAGGCTGGAGCTCACCTGGGAGACTCCTGGAGGAAGCGGAGCCTGGGTTCGGCCTCTCCAGGCAACGCAGGAGGCCCAGCGGGAAGGCAGGAGGCGGCGGCGGAGGAGGAGCTCTACTGAGAGGCAACTGTAGCGACAGCAATCCGAGTCGCCGCCGCCGCCACCTGCACCTGGTGCCTGGCCCACGTCCAGCGCCCTCCCGGCCGCCGCTTCCCGCCGCCCTGCCCTGCCCACCTGCCAGGTAAGCCAGCGGGCCGGCGCTGAGACGGGGACAGGGTACCAGGCGCCCCGGGACAGTGTCAGGGAGGGCTGTGGGACCGTCGCGGAGCTTCACGTGGTGCGCAGAGCGCTGCGGTCCCGGGGGCCGGTTGGGGACCGTCTCGAGAGAGGCTTTCAGTTGCTCCTCTGGGGAGGCCGACAGAGGCGTCCCAGGCCGGGGGAAGTAGCGTCCCAGGGTTGGGGAGGACAGATCACCCCTCTCGCGGGTGGTGCCCCCTGTGAGTCCCTGCCGCGACGGGGATCTCGTGGTGGGGAGGTGGAGGAGTGGCCGGACCCGCGGCGGCCGCGTTTCCACTTGGGCCAGCAGGTTGCCTGTCGCCTCCCTCCCCTGCCCGAGAGGGTCAAACTCGCGACGGGGAAGGGCATGGCTCTGCCAGGCAACTTTCCCAGCCGGACCCCAGACAGCCCGAGGGTGGAAACCGCGGCTGCCGGAGCCATTCAAATGGTTTCCGACTGGTTTGGAAAGCGCTCCGTGGTCGGGAGGCGGACGCCCCGCGCTCTTTTTTGACTCTGCACTTTTCCGGGTTCCCGACCCAAGCCAGAGCTGCGCCCACTTTCCGGTTTGATGGGGAAGAGTTCACTTCTTTTCTTCGTGGCAGGAGGAAAGCCAACCGCCAGGCACCAACCGCACACCATCCCCTTGAAGGACCTGTTGACTTAAGGACCTGTATATCGCGGCTATGGTTTGCCTGTGGCATATGACTCAAAGGTTCAAAAAAAAAACTTTCTTTCAGAATGCTGCCACGTCTGAACCTGGGTGTGCCAGGCTCAAATTCCTCTCCTGCCTAATTAGACTTTTCTGAAGCCTAAGAATTGAGGGTGAAACTGAGGCTTACCTTAGACTTTTATTTCCTTCCTTTCTCTCAAACTCATCAAAGAATTTTTTCTGGTTTTGGAACCCCATCAGTTTTTTCCTGATTTTTAGAGCATGTTAAGTTAATGTAGCTTACTATATGTAGAAGTTACACTACATAATGAAAACATTTAAACTCAAACTCTATTGTTAAAAGTCAGAAAGTTAATACATTTGAATTTGAGAATTTCTGATTGTGGGAAAATCTGTGCTGCTTTTATTATGTTATTTTTCTTTGAGTTTGTGGCTAAAAATACACAAAATTCAAGCCACACCCTACAATTAGCTTTCTTTAAATTTATTAAATTCTATTAATAACTGAAGTCTAGGATACAGGTTAAACATTTCTGAGCAGTTTATTTGTACCAAGCATCTATTACTTTAACCAACATTTTACATAGAAATTTCTAATAATAAATAGCAATTCCACCCCTTAAGTGTATTTAATTCTATCTTTCCAAATTTAAAATATATATTTTAAATTGCACATTAACTTAAAATGCCTTAGGCAATACATATGGTTTTTAAAAGAAGGTGCAATTAAAAGTTAAAAAAAAAAAAAAAAAACCCACAGCCTAACAGGACATAATTATTAATTCAACCAAGACTTTTTGGCTTTTTTCAAAAGAGACTCGCCTGCCCTCTTAATCTTGTCTCCAGGCAGAGAAATAAATATACTAAGTATGGTATAAAATTAGAGTAGGTGTTGCCCTACTAAATTTTAAAGATTAATCTTCATTGTTTATTGGGCAGGTGTTAGACTTTAGGGAGAAATGTAACAGCGTTTTTATTAGCTAGAGTAACAGTGGGCCTCAATTTCTATCTATAAAATAGAAAAAAATAAAAACATTTCCCTACATTAAGATAGCAAGGCCTTAAAAAATTTGAATAGCCACTCTATCTGGTATTTTGCTTTGGGTATCCATACGCATGTGCAGTTGTGATAAATTGAGGCTGAGGGGTGTTCTAACTTCAGTTTGCCCTACAAGTTAGTGCTAGAGATAGCATTGTTATTCCAGTGGTTTGACTCACGCTCAGCTCCTATATCATTAGATTTCACCACCCACATTCTCACTTATCATAAGATGTTTATCTTTTTTTCTTTCATGTAGTTTTTAAGGCCTTTGTAATTATAGAATAGTCAATTGTTCTCTGTCCAGCTCTGATTTACCCTAATTTCTACTTGTTCAAGAAAATGCCTGGTTCCATGGAGACTCAGCAAGGCCTTCAGGCGCTTCCTCTCACTGTGGATCACATGGATATTAAAGATGCCATGTGGATTGAGATTTTTAATCCTTTCTTGGTATTTCAGAGTCACAGTTAATTTTTTTGAGCCAATTTGGACGGTGTTATTTAGCCTTCTGATCTTTTATTACATTGGCTCATGATATATTTTATGAGGCATTGACCCAGTGTCTTCCATCCATTTGGAATACCCTAGATTTTTGGTTTCAAGCACACTTCCTTAATACCAATGCTTTTTAAACATTTTTTTTAACACTGCAATCCTCAGTGTAAAAATATGCATTCTGTGTTTCCCTGTGTTGTATGCATACGTAAATGAAACAGGTTTCACAAAACAATAACTTAACCTTACCATATGGATTTTCTTTTTTATTTTTAAAAATTGGTCTCAACATACTAGATTGATTTTATGACAACTAATGTGCTGGAGCCTACACTGTGAAAATGGTGCTATCATACTAAATTTACATTTTTTTCTTTTCTCCTTTTATTTTATTGTTTTTACATTTACTTACATGTGTATACATTGTTTTTTTAAGGCTCGTTTTTCTCCCGCTAGCTTACTGTCTCTTTTAGACATGCATGCCTATACACAGACAAGAAAATCAAACTTTTTTTTTTTCATAAAATCATACCGTAATCCAAATTAAGCATTTACTAGAGGGCGTGAGGCCCTGGAACCTTGGTGCTAGACTAAATCTTTCCAGCATTAGAAACTGCATGAAGTCTCACTGTGCATGGTTATATTTTAAATGGGTTGTCAGCATGCTGTGGTGCATTTTGGCACAGAAAAAACTAGGAGTGTTTTTGTGAGGAGATTTTGATGGTAGCAACTATCAAGTGAAAGTTTGAGAGAAAAAAGTAATTCTCTCCTACCTAGCTCTATTTTCATCCTGAGTTTTATGGCTGAATTACAGTTCTGGGTAAAGAATGAACAATTATTAGAGCAAACAGCCCAGTTTACTATTTTGTTTGCATTTTGTTAACTTTTTATATTTTCATCTTTTATGATGAAATAGGTATAAGAAATGAATTACAGGAATCACACCCACTGCCCCAAAAAAATAAGTTAAGAAATTATATTAGATCCTTAACTCACTTTTTGGGGTATAGCCTTGTAAACTGTGACTAGATAATTAAGCTTTTCATAGGAACTTTCAATTTCCACCTGCCTTCACATTCCTGATAGAAGGATTTTTTCTTTTAAAGTAAATATTGCCATATGTAATATTTTGTACATGATTAGTATATGTATCATCTTCAGATTATATTCAGTTCTCTGGTCCATAAAGTATAAAAAAATGCACATTTCTTATGGGTCAAAAGCTGATTGAAATAAAGGAGGTGTTTTCAATTACCTGCCAATTATGCATCTGGTTTGTATCAGAATAATCAGTATTATATAATTTGGGTGATTTTAACATAATTAATGTACTGGTCAATGGCAACATTGAATTCAAATCAATTTCAGCAATGGCAAGAGACCAACATACATTAATTTGTGGCAAAGCAAAGACAAGTAGGACTGAATTCTAGGTCATTAATGGCTGTAGACAATTAGATGAAATCTCTTTGAGTCATTCTTAGAATTGGGCTTATATTTCTGGCACTAAATATAGTATTTCTCTGAGCACACCTTTTCCCTCTGCTTGTTCGAATTTCAAACTATCCAAACTAATTTATTTATATGATTTCTGGGCCTCTTTAAGTTATCATAATAACTGGAGCTTACATGAGTCTAAACCAGGACCTTCATTGCATCACAAACTTTCACTTCCTGTTTTCTATCTGTATATATTAATACATTTGCCATGTCTTATCCACAATTCCAAAATCAGCCTCTGAAAGCCAAAAATAATTACATGACTCATTTGCTAGCAAAACTTGAACTCATTTGAAGCAAAACATGAGTGAACTGTCAAGAGGCTATCATCTATCCCACTTGGTGAGATCTGTCTCACTGCAGAAATAGTACTGTTTTTTACATACTACCACCCCAGTCCCTGCTGAGGTAGTGTTATACTGGGTATATGAACCATGCCATCTATCTGAAATCTAAGAAATTCTGAATTTTGCATCATGTTTGGCTTCAGCAATTTGGAGGCTAGATTATGGATCTATATCACTAAGTCACGTCAAATCTAGAGGTCATTCTGAACTCAGCCTCCAAAATAGCTATGGTCTGAATATTTCTATCCCTCCAAAATTCATATGTTGAAATCTAATCCCCAATGTGTTGCTATTAAGAGTGAGACCTTCAGGAGGTGATTAGGTCATGAGGGTTCTAGTCACATTAGCTTTTTTGCCCTTCTGCCCCGTGCACACAGGAGGTGCTATGTATGAGGAATGGGCCCTCACAGGGCACTCCATCAGCCTGTGCCTTGATCTTAGACTTCCCAGCTCTAGACTGTGAGCAGAAAATTTCTGTTTATAAGTTATCCAGTCCAAAATATTTTATTCTAGCTAGCCCAAACAGACTTACATAGCAACCGCCAGATCACTGAATCTAGGGCTGGCAGAGTGACTCAGACCGTAAGAAGGCATCCTCGCAATCGCGAGGCTGTGAGTTCAAGCTCCACTGCCGCAAAACAGCAACAATGACAAAAAAAAAAAAAAACCGGATCACTGAATCTGTTTAATATTTTATACATTTTTCCCTCATCACAAATTCCTTTACCACTTCTACTCCCGTTGTTCAGGGTCTTATCAACTCTCACATAGCTGCCTCGGTTGCCCTCTGCTTGCTTTCTTTAAGTCCATCCCCAGCAGAACTTCTGAGGTGGTGATGTTTTTAAAATGTAAGCTAGAACTATTCTCCCCTGGGTATAAAATCCTTCAACAACTTGCCATAGCTTGCAGGAGAG